CGAGCTGGAGCATCTCTGTCTTGAAGTCAGGGATGATGTCGCACGCGAAGTCCCAGCTCTCCTTCTGCAGGCGTTTCCTGTGGGTGTATCGAGCCGGTCAGTTAACATCAAGGCGCCCACAGACCGTCGCGACGCACTCGTTGGACCATGAGTTGACACAGGTGCTGTCCTGCAGCACTGCCTTCTCCAGGACGAGACCCTTGTCGACAATGATGGAAGGCCGGGTCCACGGTTCCACGCGACGGGGGAATGCGCGCCCGTAGTCGACAAGGTCTTTGCCCGCGTCGTCAGCGTCATCCTCGTCCTCACTGGTGAATATCTTTCAGTATGGTGTGCATTGGAAGAGGTCGTGTTTGGCTCACACTGCTTTACGCTTGCGGCGACGGCGGTCCTTGTCGCGAGAGGCGGTCTTGAGGAACGATGCGAGGAGACCAGGTGCACCGGCGAATAATGTGGCGGGGTCGGCCGCCTGGGCCGTAGACAACGTTGCAGGCGTGATTGTAGCGGAAGAAGTCATGTTGGAACCAGCCAGTGACGAGAGAAAGCACGCTATGATTCTTCGGTGTCGTACTGAAGCTTTTATACTCCGTCTGCTCCCCCGGGTGCCCTCACGTCTCGCCGATTTTCGGACTGACGTCTACGTTATTCACTCAGCACCGAGCCGCTTACGACGAGCCATGACCGCCCTTTGACCTGCGCTCTTCACGTCTCAGGACCATCAAGCCGGTTCGCAGCTATCTCTCGATCGTCGAACCAAGTCAAATTAGAGGCATTGTTCCCTCAATTTCGGGACCTCGATTCTGCGCCTTATTCTCACCTCGGGCAGCTTATGGCACGAAGGCTGAGCTTGCAGTGCAGGGTGTGCTCACCACTCGCGTATACGTCTTGGTGCAAGTACTGTATAAATATCCCTCCATGATGCCGCTCAATTCGTACCAACTTTCTGACCACCCACCAACACACCCACACCCCCATGGCACGACTCCCGACCTCGCGAGCTCCCCGTATCACCCGCACGCTTGCCATTTCACCGCGAAAGCGGCTTGACCAATTGCGCCTTGAGACTCGGCAGGCCGAGTTTGCTCTCAAGGTTGCCTCACACGCTATCGGGCTTCACATTGCCACCAAGCCGCTACCTGACGACTCCGAGTTCCTGATTTGCGATGCCTGGCGACGCATCTGGAGATCGTATACCTGCCCTGCGCGCTCGGGGATCCCTTGCTTTCCGTCGGATGAAGTGATAGCTTCGGTGAGTTTATGTCCCGAACGCTCTCCCCCCCTCATTTACTGAAAAACTATCTCCCACAGATCAAGGTCGACATCAAGGCGCATTACAGTGCCCTTTTCGACATCGCTGAGCTGCTTCTGCCCGTCCACTTTGACTTCAGGGCTTCATCCTCTCGCAACTCGGTCTCGCATAACTCTGCTCTCGCATCTCGGCTCCTAGAGACGCATCGGTATGCACACACCATTGTATGTACAGCCATAACCGATGCCCCTGGCCTGCATATTGATCGAGCTCTAGAACTCCGACACCGCAGCGCTCAAGAAATTTCAACACGATATACTACCGGAGTTTATAGAACAAGCGTGGTTCTTCACCGCTCTGCCTGCAGCACTTCGGGACGACGACAGCCTGGTCGCGACGCGTGTGCCCCCCTACTTCAAAGAGGATGCTTTCAGGCAGATCCCGCATGAAGCCATCGCGCTTGCTTTGACGGTGGTATGCCGAACCCTGCTGCTTTGGCAACCATGTGCTTATTGGGGTCCTCAGATTGATCTCTCGATTGCGACCGAGTACCTCGGCGCTGACGGCAAGCCTATTGATATCTTGCTATCGGACAAGGGCCGAGACCTGTACGAATCAAATTGGAAGGAGCTCAAGACATGGGAAACGGAGAGTGCATTGGCTCATGAGCTGCCGAACTTCACGTCGGTGCGAGCAACGTGGTTCTTGACGATCGCGACGAAATTCAATGAGCTATGACATGTTACCTGTTGACCGAATCATAGCATAACTTATTTGCCTGTGTAGTATTTGCGAGCACGTTGAGATGATCCTGTCCATGATCCTGTACTCTGCAACTCAGAAGCAATGTTCCGATCCAGAACACCAGTACACTCTTGCCTGTAACAGCTGCCGATGATCAGTGTCTGCCACTGTGCATCCGGTTCTCCACCGATAGGCTCTTTCTGAGCAACACTATGCAATGCACAGTCATTCGCCCACAGTGAACAATGTGGATGATGGAAAACGAGGCCCTAAGCCTTACCACATATGGGCCATCGGAACAAGCTGCGCACACCTGCTGGGTCCATCGAGAGGGGCGTACTTGAAGCTACATGTAGGCGCATTCGACAGTCCACACGATGCCATAGGATGAGTGACAGGTGCGACGCCAAAGCGACGTCCGCATCCCGCGTTCCAGGCGACGCGGTTTAGATTTCGCCACGCGAAAACAATGTTGGTGCGCAGACGCGTCGCGGCTCGTGGTTCCGCACGGACGCGAGCAGCGCCGTCGACGCCCATTCTTGTTCAAAAAGCATGCGGGGGTGAACGACAGACCTACCACATCACTTGTAAAGTAGACTTACCTATATTTTGGGCCCATTAAAGTGCCCGCTTGCATGGGCAGCCCAAAAATGACACGTGTATCGCATTGTGCCTGCCACTGCGGTGCGAACAGCATCAACACCTGCTTAATCCCACTCCTGTGCAGACACTGTGCATTCCGTCATCTCATTGACTGCAAAACCCATGAATGCGTGGATGCGTGAGCAGGAAACCCCCGTGGTGACGAAGACTGGTTGAAGAGGTGAAGAGCACGTCGCAGCATCTCTTCCCTTAACCACCATGTCCTTCATATGTTTCCGTTGCCCATTCATCCATGTAGCCTAGTATATACATCCCAGCGAGAATGTAATGTCAACCTAACTGTCAGTCTGCGCATTTACGCGATCTCTGCGCTTGATGTGCGGAAATTCCTCAAGATGACTTTCAGCGACAAAGGTGATTATTCGTCCAAACTCTTACCCGATGCCCAAGCGGGGTCTTTTTTGCTGCATCCCTGCGTGCGGGCAGTCATTTGACACCGATGTTGGGCTTGAGGTCCACCAGGACTCATGCTCCGCTTACTCGGAGGTCGATGATGAACTTGGCGATCTCCCTCAGCTCGTACAGGCGGAAGAGGACAGGCGGAAGCGTCGCAGGCACGAAGAGCTAGAGTCATCGGTCAAGGTGTGTATACTATTCATTATGATCAATAATCTTTATTCATGTCATCGCAGGATGCCACTCCCCCTCTCGACCCCGTCATGCCCGATCTCGAGACTACACCTCCGACCCCATCTGCGGTTCCTGCTCCTCCATCTCCTGTCCTTGGGCGCGGTAAACGTGTTAAGCGCTTCACATACAAGATTCTCGAAATGCTTCCCCAACCACCCATACCCGTAGCCGCGCCAGACATGCCTGCGACTCTCGACCCGACACTTCCTGAGGCACTGGCACGCGAACCATTCACCTGGCAGTCAATTCGCTCCAGTATGAATATATTCGGTCTGTTCCGCGATTACGCCTCTCGGCCGACATTCACTCCCGACGATACGTCTTCGCTCGAAGATCTTGCCGATGCATCTGTACAGCCACATGCCCCCGACGGGGAAGTGACTGTCGCCCCATCTTCCACGCGCGTACCTTGGTTTCCCTTTGCGAACCTCTCCATCTTTCTTATCATATCGTGGCTTTTCACGGGCTCGAATAAGAAGAGCTTGGCGGAGGCAGATCGTCTCATCGATGTTCTTCAGACACCAGGCTTCTCCGTCGACGACCTTACTGGCTTCAGCGCAAAGCGAGAAGCTACGGCTTTTGACGAGTACCTCAAGGAGCAGTCCCAAGGAGAGTCCGCCGCTTCGGATCTACTATCCGAAGATGGCTGGAAGGAGACTGTGGTCCCCATCGAAGTTCCTGATGGTCTCCTTCACCGCCCTGGCACGAGCGACCCTTCCGTTCCCATTTACCCTGTTCCAGGCCTCGTGTATCGGTCCATTACCTCTGTCATCCGGAACGTCTGGACAAGCCCCGCCGCAAGTCACTTCCATCTCACGCCGTTTCGCCAGTACTGGCAACGTACACCAGATGCGGCCGAACGCGTGCACGGGGAGCTCTTTGCTAGTGACGCCTTCGCTCAGGTGCACGAAGAAGTTCAGAACCTTCCCGCCAAGGATGGCTGCACACTCGAGCGCGTCGTCTGTGCGCTCATGTTCTGGTCCGACGCCACACATCTCGCCAGCTTCGGTAGCGCCTCACTCTGGCCCATCTATCTTTTCTTTGGCAACGAGTCCAAGTACCGTCGTGCGTCCATGCGCACACACTCGTGTCATCACATTGCATATCTACCAAAGGTATGTACTGTGACATACTGTCGGCTCTCCCCATCGACTCATTATTGATACAGCTGCCCGACGCATTCTTTGACTGGTACGAAACGCTTGCCAGCGGCCGTAAACTTTCGGATGAGCTCCTCACCCACCTTCGCTCGCAACTTATGCATGCCATCTGGGCGCTCTTGCTCGACGAGGAGTTTATGGATGCGTATGTCAACGGCATTGTCATCGACTGCCCTGACGGCAAGCAGCGGCGCGTGTTCCCGCGATTGTTCACTTACTCGGCAGATTACCCGGAGAAGTGCGTATTTAGCTCCCGGTACAACCGCGCGGACACTGAACTCGTCACAGGGTCTTATTGGCTACCATTCGCAACATGGGCAAATGTCCGTGCCCACGCTGTGCGGTCGCGAAGGAGAAGATAGGGGATCTCGGGATGGAGCGCGATGATGCGCGCCGTGCACGCGACGCCCGTACAGATAACCACGCGTACCAGTACGATGTACGAGCTGCCCATTCCGCAGTGTATGAGCGCGGGAAACCTATCCGTGGAGTGGATGTGGAAGGAGCGCTTGGCGCACAATCGTATGTTCCTACCAAGGTGAGCATGCAGAGCGCCTTCATGTGTATGATCTTACCTGATCGGCTGTCCGCTGGCACTCAGAATGCATTCTCGGTGCTCCAGATTCCCGGCATCATCGCGTTCAACTTCTTCTCGATGCTTGTTGTGGATCTTATGCATGAGTTCGAATTGGGTGTCTTCAAGAATGTGTTCATCCAGCTTATGCGCATCCTGAATGTCGTCTCTGATGCCGCCCTTCATACCATGAATCGTCGGTAAGCATGTCCTTGGCTCGTTTTAACTCCGTGTAACCTGACATGCCCTGAAGTTTTCGCCTTATCCCGGTCTTTGGTCGTGGCACTATACGGCGCTTCGCCAATGACGTGTCCCAGATGAAAAAGCTGGCCGCTCGAGATTGGGAGGATATTATGTTGGTATGTTGCTGCTTGTGCTGGTTGAATTGGCACAGTACTCACACCTTTTCAGTGTGCGCTCCCAGTACTCGAGGGTCTTTTCCCAGATACGTTTGATCCTGTCGTACAAGATCTGGTGTTCTCGCTGTGCTATTGGCATGCGCTCGCGAAGCTGCGCATGCATACAGACTCAACCATCAATCTCCTCCGTGGCGCCACAAAGACCCTCGGCACTACGATCCGGCTCTGGGCTAAGCGCGGCAGTACCTTTCCCACAAAGGAACTACCGCGCGAGGCCGAGCTGCGAGGGAAACGCCGCTCGAAGAAAGCCCGCCGCTCTTCCAAACCCGCCTCTGCTCCGCCGGCCGGCCCGCCGCCCGCCGCCAAAGCCAAGACGTTCAACCTGCTTACTTACAAGCTGCATGCTCTCGGTGACTATGTGCGGACCATCCTCTGGTTTGGGACCACAGACTCTTACTCAACGCAACGGGTGAGCTACCAATACGACCGTCCTGATCTAGATCAAAGTTACTAACCCGACACATAGGGAGAGCTGGAGCACCGACGCCCGAAGGCCTTCTATGCACGCACGAACAAAAACCGAGCGACAATCCAAATCAGTCAGCTGGAGCTGCGTCAGCGCGCGCTTCGGCGCATGGCCGGGAAGGTGGTACCAACTTTGCAGCGCAGGACTACCCTCATAAAGGGTCGGAAGCGCGCGCACGCTGTCCTCGATTTCGACGAGCAGGAACCTCTGCCCGTCACATCTCCAGAGATGCACCATCACATCTCTCACGCGCAACGCTTCCCGGTCAATCTCCCAGCCTGGCTCCGCGAGTGTAAAGATGACCCCTTGACCGTGGTGTGTGTCCTATCTTAGTGCATCATCCTTACAACTGATTCGCATGAACATTGCCTGTAGGACTTCTACGGGCGGCTGCAAGATCATCTTCTCGAGCGCCTCCTGGATCCTGATTGTGCCACCGATGACTGCCGCTACTCCACGGAGGAGCGGGTGCGCGTTTTCATCCAGAGCGACCGCATCTATCTTCATAAAGTACTTCGCATCAACTATACGACCTACGATGTGCGTCGCGCCCAAGATTCGCTCAATCCCCGGCTGGGCGCTCATATCATGACGCCTACCCGCCCGTGGGACAACCTCGATCATCCTTTCTCCTACGCCCGCATCCTCGGTATCGCACACGTCAACGTCTCGCTCCGCTCTTCCACCGACACCGCATTTACTGCTCCGGCATCGACACAGCTAAAAGAGGTTCTCTGGGTGCGCTGGTTCCGCCATGATTCGCGCCGCAAGAGCGGTTTCAAGAGCCGCCGGCTACCACGACTGCAATTGGTCGAAGAGGACTGTGCCTACGCGTACGGATTTCTGGACCCGGACGATGTTATTCGCGGATCACATCTGATCCCGGCGTTTGCATTCGGCAAGCGCGAAGACGGCGAGTGGCAGTACCACTACGTGAACATGTATGTTATCTGACATCACTTCTGCGTTGATCGAGTCCACTGACATGTTTGACAGTTTTGTTGATCGGGACATGTTCATGCGTTACACGGGACTCGGTGTCGGCCACAACTATCGTACCACTCTACCTGAGGGCGAACTTGATGGCGCCGAGGACGGGTCTGAGTTGGATCGCGACGAAGAGGATGATGCCGTGGCCATCGTCGCCTCTGCGGACGCGCCTGCCGGTGATCACGGGCACTCGGACGAGTCGGATAGTGATGGTAGCGTTGACGAGGACGACGAGGACGGGGACGGGGAACAGGATGGGCCCGATGACATCGGGCTCGACCTAGGGCCCGAGGACGGTGAGGATGCCGCGGCGTATGATTTTGACGATGGCTGGGTCGGTTACGATGATCCGTAATACTTGTAGACGTGCTATAACTTATTATGCAAGACGATATCCTAGCACACGCACGGCATATGCCGTATATGACATTTTGAAGGTCGTGCGGGGTTTGTCTCGCACTTGTATCCCCGCGCGATGACTTGGCTTCGGTGCGCAAGGGCTTTGCGTACGCTTGCATTGGCCTTGGATATTTCACGTCAGGCTTTCCTTCCACACGCCAGCACTGCGAGCAAACGGCAAGGCCGGCATCTCTGTCGTAAGGCCTTTTGCGGGCTTGGATTCTTCCCAAATAACTTATAATACCTTCTAATTGCGGTAAGGTTTTAGCAGCCAAAAACGCTTTCGCTGATGATGGACGCTGGGCTTAATCATACCTCTCCTCGTAGCAGGACCTCTCTGTGAGTATCATACTCAGATCGAATCGCCTGAAGCGCGACAGCGCTCATATGCGAAGACTATGTCATCCAACCAGGTCGCTTTCTGGTAATTGAGGGCTTCGGTTGTAGCAACACCTCCGATGGCTCAATACTCAGCATCCTACTCTTGTCCGTCTGGGCAGTAATCCCTCCTATGGCATCTCTTGTCCTGTATTATCGTGCGTCGCTCGACACGGTTTTCCTTTGGCATGAAACTCATACCCGCCCGTTTCAGCTCATATAGCGAGGTTCTTATATCGCCACAGTCGAGATCTCAAGTCCTTTCTCCAAAGCAGTGACTCGGTGGACCGCACGAACTATCACCGGATCCTTGTACTTGCGAGCATGGATATCCTCCTCACGTTGCCTATGGGCGTAGCGTCAATCGTCTTGAATACAAGACAATCATTAGCTTATGATGACGGCCAAATCTCGTTCTACTACGGCTGGAGGGACGACCACGCTGACTGGGCCCCGCGGAGTGTTTCCCAGGCAGACGCACTGGCAGGAGGGACGTCTGTTGTGGCGCAATACTACTTCATCCAATGGACATCGCCCGTCCTCGCTTTCGTCATCTTCGCCCTCTTCGGCGCCACGTCAGAAGCACGCGCGGCGTACTGGCGCGTCATCTGCACTATCGGCGGCTGTTTTGGCTGGGCGCCGACGCCATGCACGCACAGGGCGCGTTCGTCGTTGGGAGACATCGAGTTCGGCGAGAGGCCTCCGCAGCACTCCATATCATTTGGTCTCGAGTACGTGGATCGATTCTGAGAAAGACCTTTTTGACGGTGAAGATCTAGCTCACAGCCAAGCTTCATCGACCCAAGCGCACGTATTCCTCAAACGATGACAGGAAGCATCACCGATCGAAGCGAAGTAGCATTCGAAAGCACCAGGTCAGACAAGGACTGGCCAGAGGATGTACCTCGAGCCACAAGTGGCACGTACGTATCTCATTAGTTGCCGCGCAATTGGCAGTTAACGAAGGGTATGCGCAGGCATCGGGACAATGACGTGCAGGATCGCGGTGCGCACGTAGTCGGAGCGTCGCAGGCAGTATAAAGAGTTTGATTCGTTCGCCTGACCCGGCACGAGCTTGGACGCAAGTATCAAATGTCTTATATTCCGTCGATACATCATTCCTGCCACAACATCTGCATGTATAGTGTGTCCAACGCACACGTACTAGAATAGCAAAATTGTGCGACTGAGCACATGGCAAGCGCTGACGCCCTTGCTAGCCCTAACAGCTTCCTTCTCCAGGACGCATTCACTACAGAGCGAAATGACAACATGAGCGACGGTACGAGTGAAAGTGAGATGCTAACGTACTTGTACTATCTCCCTTAAGAGGTCTAGAGCACCGTTCGCGACCTCTCGGTCGTGTTCAGCTCGAGGCCCGCCAACGAGATGAGCCATAGTCTCACACCACTTGTCGACCTTACTCCGCCTCGCCGCCCCTTCAGCAACGCCATGTCCGGCCTTTCTTAGCCATCTGGTGGCTCCCGATTGCCGCCCGGGCTCCACTTGAGCCATTCCTGTCCGACCATATGCAAGTGTAGTAGTCGACTGTAGCGCTCGCGTCGGAGTCACAGGTCGGTGAGGCGTCCAAGCAGCTGATGGGCAACGGTGTCTCCCGACCAGCGAGCTCACGGCCACCCCTGCCGACGCTGATTGGGGTTTGGCCGGGTTCGTACGCCAAAACTGAGATGAGGCGCGGCACGCGCTCGCGGGCGGAAAGAGCAAAAACTCCTGTTTATCCTTTTGATCGACATGTTGAGGTATCTCAGCGGGCGATGTGTTCAAGACGCGTGTCTCCAAAGTAGCCGAGCTGGTGAACAATCGTCACCGACAAAGACCGTCTCGCGAGATCATCCTCAGGCTTGAAGAAGAAGAAAAAGGCGGGATAGAGGGCAGACGGTGCTGGACAGGCAAGATCGCCGCGGTTGGAGCCAATTGGCGAGCATGATGGGAGTACAAGACCGAGCTGCCAACCGCGGCCCCGACCAAGCCCCGACATGCTCTGACATTCTTGCGCGCGGGTGGCCTGGAGCCGGGCCGGAGATACAGTAAGTAACTAAGACGTGTGTCCTCGCTTGCTCGAGAGTCGCAACAGCTCGTCCTCGACACGCGTCTACTATGTGGCACCTGCCGACGTTCCGCATTGGAGCCAGGTTGTACTTAACTGTGGGCGAGGGAGCAAGTCGCCGCAGCGCTTCACCCGCGCGGCATCGGCCGGATGCGCCGTCAAGCACATCCGAACGAGGCGATTGTCTCTCGACCACCACGACTATGGACATCCATGTGAATACTATTTCTTCTCAGGCATCACTGCTGAGTGAAGTACACGTATCAAGCCTTGCTTCGGCCACCAAGCGGGAATGTTACTACCTCCGGTGCAGGCGTCGCAAGTGACGGCGCCCACCTCGCCGACTGTGCCGTCTCATTCGTGAAGCTCGAGCTATACGCACCTTCGAGAAGCTTCATATCTCTCGTACTTGCTCCTACCGCGTACTCACCGGCTACTAGCTTAAAGCGCCGTTGCCACACGTATCTGACACGCTTCTGACAGTGATCTCTGTTGTCTTTGAGGGTGTACGAGTGCAACGCCCCACACAGGCTCTGCTCGCGCGCTCGTGACTGCTCTTCTCCCGCCTGTGAGTAGATACGTGGCTTGCAAGCAGCATTCTGTGTGCAACCGTCTGATCGAACTCCGTAGCTTCATCCATCCTGTGTACGGTTGCCCTGCCCTCCGTCATGAGGTCCCAACCATCGCTCAAGGCCAATAGGAACGGTACGCGTCACCCACTTCTTGTTGGTGCCTGGATAACATAGTATCGCATGTTACAGGTCAGCCTTTCGTTGGCGAAGCGAAGGCCACAGGCTACGTTGTTATCACGGTGATTCGGGGCTCCTTCATGCACCGTTCACATCTTGTTCTCTTGCCCAAGAACGTGCCATCGCTCAGCAAACATAGCTACGAGCGATGATATATATGGCAGAAAGCCAACCTGCAGGAGTCACCAACACCTCGTTCGTGCGCCATGGCAGCCGTTGACCCCACGTACCCCCTCTACTCCATCGCTTGTCTCCTGGCTTCATTGATGCTGCTCCTCGTACTCTTGACTAGCTTCGTTCGCCAAAGCTGGAACCTCGGCGTCGCCTTCCTGTGCTTCTGGCTCTTCTTGGAAACGCTGACTGCCGGGATCGATGCGATTATATGGTCCGACAACGCCGATGTTAAGCTCTTCGTATACTGTGACATCGGTGCGTGCAGCTGCGACGCATGTGTTGTCTGGATGTCTGGATCTGACCAGCTGTTTCTATCAATAGTTACGCACATCCAAGTTATCGCGGGCGTTGTCAAGCCCATGGCGACCTTGATCATCACCCGGCGGCTATCTCTCATCACTCGTCGACAGTCTGTCGAGCCTTTCGATAAAAGAGCGGTACGGGACAGTGTCTACACTTTCACAAGCATCCACCTGCTAAGTGATCGCGCAGAGATACAAAGACCTCGCGATAGAATGGACCCTTGGTCTGGTCATTCCCGTCCTCGTCGCAGGACCCCTCTGTACGTCTCATCGATATGTGCGGACTCGTCGCTCAAGTTAACTCCGTTGCCAGACTACGTAGTCCAATGGCCCAGATTTCAGGTTGTCGAGGGTTTTGGCTGCGATAACTCGCCCGATGGATCGGTACTCAGCATTTTGCTCTTGAAGCTATTCAACGTGATTCCTCCGTTAGTTTCCATTGCGATATATTATCGTGCGTCAGACGCTTTCCTTTCTCCGAACGCGTCCTGACGTGCATGTTTGCTACCTCAGCCAATGTCGCACGCACGTTCTACCGTCACAGTCAAGACATCAATCGATATTTATCGAGTAGCTCCTCGATATCCCGTGCCTACTACTTTCGCGTCCTCGCCCTTGCGAGCATCGACATCATGCTCACCTTGCCAATTGGCATTGTGACTCTTGTTCTGACTGCTCGAGGCGCATTGCTGTCCGGCCCTCTCCCGTTCTACTTTGGATGGACCTTGGACCACACGGACTGGACACCGGAGAGCCTTCCATACGCGTATCTGCAAGCGGAAGGGACTCTTAGTCTGGCCGCATCGTACTTCATCCAGTGGACATCGCCCGTCCTTGCTTTCGCTATCTTTGCTCTCTTTGGTGTCACGCCGGAGGCGCGCGGGTCGTATAGGCGCATCATGTACGCCATCGGAAGGTTCTTTGGCTGGAAAGCAGCACCCCGCGTGCACCGGGCACGCTCGTCATTAGGAGAGATCGAGTTCGGCGAGCGACCCACTCAGCACTCCACATCACTAGGCCTCGGGTACGTGACCCCGCTCTCGCACGGACCTTCGCTAAAGATGAGTAGGTCACATCTAAGTGCCAACGATGCAAGCACGCGTGTGCCGTCGCCAGGATCGAGGGGGGAAAGCACCGTGGGACAAGGTGGGCCAGAAGGTGTCCCCTCAGAGAAAGACGTGGTCAACGCGCCGGAGACGGTATGAGCTATTACGCAGTCGTTTGGTACGATTATCGATGTTCAGGTTTGCACGCGCTGCGGCCTAGCACAGTGCGTCCTCGCACACGAATCACGCTCCCTCTCGTACTCTATACACGCTTCATTCGCGCTTTGCAATCGCATGTATAGTCCCATCGTAAACAAATATAGCCAACGACATCGTGTGAGAGATACTCTAGTAAATATCGAAGTCGTCGTGATCCTTCAGCGCTTCAGCGCTCATCCTCCTCCACCTGCGCGAAGTAACGGGTTAAGCGAGGAGAGTAAAGTTGAGAGATGGATGCACCCGCGCACCCGTCTCCAACCTCTGCGCTGCCCCGACCTTTTCCTTCTCGCCCCGCTTGACCCATCCTTTCGTGTTCAAAGCGCCCTCGCCTCTCAAAAGCCGTATGCGCACCCTTCGCCGGCATCACACATCCTTCTCCAGTGACGACGGCTGTACCTGTGCGTAAATAGGAGGAGGGTTCTTGAGAGTCTGGAAGAGAGATGCTACTGCATGGCTGAGCGTCGGACGTCGTGGGTGTGAAGGAGGAGATGCAAGCAAGCCGCCAACTGCGCGCGTGCGATTCTCAAGGCGCACGTTTCGGCACCTGTAATTCAATCTGACGCCCAGAACCGCGACAGACTTGGCCTTCTCCCGACCACCACGGTCTCTGCAAACGTTTCTCAAGTCTGAACGCAATACGTACATGGGCAATGGGATGATCAAATACCATGAAGAACTCTCTTTTGCTCTTCTATAGGCAAATCTTGCCCATCTAGACAGCTCCTCGCGCTCGCTGGTCGCAGACGGCGTAATCTTTCTCCGATTCGGGTTCGCGTCGCCGCGCGGCCTACTGTAGGCTGTACACAATGCTCGTGCGCAGTCTCGAGCGGTCAATATTTCTGACTAGCCGTAGCTGGAGTCAGCTTCTCAGCTTAGCCCTCCATATATGTCTGGGCATACATTTCCGTTGCATAAAGTCCGATGTTACATCATTCCTCTAGCTGATTGCCTTGTCCTTTTTGTATATAGCGACCCTATCACAACTGCAATGAGGCTTGTAGACGACGCTCGTCACCTCACCGCAGTCAATATCAGTCAACATAGCATACCCTGGGATGGCCTGAGCTTCTACAGATCTACGTTCGCAGAATTCGTTCACCCAGATAATCAATGGATGTTTCTGACTACGAGCTTCTGCTGTCGCTTAAGTACGTAGCCGTGCTTATACATTGGTACGCATACTGCTCAGCAGCATGTGCGCAGACTCGTGGCTCATCTTACCCTCGAGCCTACCATCTGATCCAACGTTCTTTAGAGCTTGGTGCGAACACGCCGGCGACTTTGGCTCGCGTTTCACCTGTGGAGCTGTGCTTCACCCCGAGATCGCATCATCTCTTTGACTACCAAGCGTTAGGAGGTGCCTGGGGGCAGTATGTAATGATACGCGCCCATACTACTTTGCAGCCTCTCGTCGTACTTTGGCTGATGCCTTATATGTGGAAGTCTGTCTTCCTGAGACCGACCTTTCGCTGCGATCTGAGATCTCTGCTATGGCGGCCGTCGACCCGACGTACCCTCTGTATCCCACTGCTTGCATTCTGACTTCGGTGATGCTACTACTCGTACAACTGACGAGCTTCGTTCGACATAGCTGGAATCTGGGCGTCACGTTCCTGTGCTTCTGGCTTTTCCTCGAGACTTTGACGAGTGGCGTCAATGCTGTCGTATGGTCCGATAACGCCGACATCAAGCTCTATGTGTACTGTGACATCGGTAGGCGTACCTGGTGAAGATAAAGTATGCGAGCACTCACTTAACGTCGGCCCTAGTCTCGCGTGTTCAAATCATCACCTCAGTCGTCAAGCCTATGGCAACCCTCATCATCACTCGCCGGCTATACCTTATTATTAGCCTCCAGTCTATAGAGCCTCACAACTTGGACAAGAAAGCGGTGCGATGCAGCATCCTTGCAAGCTGAATCTGTCGCTAACCATCTCACCAGAATCGCAGGAACCTCGCAATAGAGTGGACGCTTGGCTTGTTGATTCCTCTCATTGTGGCGGGACCTCTCTGTGCGTATCATCAATTGGGCCGAGGTTCTCCGCATAGCTGAGCACATCGCAAGACTACGTCGTCCAATGGCTTCGCTTCCAGGTAGAAGAGGGCTTCGGATGCGGCAACTCTCCCGATGGCTCAATCTTGAGCATTCTGCTCATCTATTCATGGAGCGTGATACCTCCCCTAGTGTCTATCGCCTTCTATTATCGTACGTCTCGAGTGCTCAACGCGGTCATCCTCGGACTAGCTGATACGAGAGTCTACTGCAGCGAGCGTTGTCAGAAGGTTCTACAAGCATAGTCGGGAAGTCAACCAATTCCTGCGAAGCAACAACTCTGTCTCTCGCCGCAACTACTTCCGCATCCTCGCTCTCGCAAGCATCGACGTCCTCCTCACCCTCCCCCTCGGAATCGCAAACATCGCCCTGATCATAACCCAATCCTTATCCTTCGGCCCTCTCACGTTCTACTATGGCTGGGCAAGCGACCACAACTCAACCACTTGGGAGCCTCAAGGATGGCCCTATGCAGAAGTGGTCGCACAGGGGACGTCGACGGTGGCTCAAGACTATTTCGCTCAATGGACGTCGCCTATCTTGGCCTTCGCTATCTTCGGCCTATTCGGCTTTACTTCGGAGGCGAGGGCGTCGTATTGGAGTATAGCGTGTGCTATTGGAGGATGGTTCGGCTGGAAGCCGGCACCGCCGACTGGCAGGACACGTTCACCGCTGCCGGTGATGGAGTTTGGCGTGTGGCCTCATCAGTCGGATTCAATGTCGCTGGGCCTTGGGTGCGTGACCGTTGTCTAGATCTGAGCATCACTGACGAACAGCATCAGGTCCGAGCCAAACTACGTCGACCGCACGCCAGACAAGCAAGAGATCGGCGTGGTAGACCATCTGGAGATGAACTCGGGCGAACGAGCGGTCGGCGACGTTCAGACGGTGTCAAAGGCGGAGAAGGGCACTGTACATGATCACGCAGTGCGTTGAGCGGCAGGTGCCACATTGGCAGGACGATGCACATCTGCTGATTGCTTATAGGCGCATGTAGACGCCTGAAGGATGTCGACATCGCAATTCTGGCCGCCGCGACGATGAAGCAATGCCCAGGTTACAGGGACACGAGATTCTCTGCAGCATCACGCAGTCCTGATGATCATCCCGAGGAAGTTGCCGATGCCTCGCTCGCATTATAGACGACCTGCTCTGTACGATGGGTCTGAAACCCAGACGCGCCGCGGTCCGTCGCTCGATAGAGCTGGTACATTAAGCGCGCTGAGAAGGCAGTACAATCTTGTCGTTCTCGATACTCGCACAAATATTCATTCATTCGTTCGCAAAAGTATATCATAAGTACAGTTCGCATAGATCGATAGGGATAGAGTGATTCGCCCTCATGATGGGCCAGTCGACAACTCGTACGACGGGTTCAGAGCCTTTGTACGACCTGGAAAACATGGTCAGCCGATGTGTGAGGAAAGAGTCGATGTACACGCACGCGACAGAGGCCAATGTCCTTGCTCCCGTTGCGCATGCACACACAAGGCCCGCTGCGCACGAACCTCTTCCAAAGCATGCATGAGGCCAGTAGGCCTGTTTGTACGTTGCGCTCATCCTCGCCACATGTCCTCTTCGCTAGTTCTAGTAGCCTTCTCCGCTTCGAGGGTAGACAATCTACCAGTCACATTCCGCGCAACGAGTAGCAGTCGCCGGTATGATGCAGCGGGGCGAGATGTTGGACGCGGGTGAATCGAGGTTGGCTGTGATGTGAATGTGAATGTGTCCAGATCCCGGGTGGATGGGTGATGTCCAATTCGTACGGCGGGAGTCGGCAAGGATCATCCAATAAGGAAAGCATATAAGCGTCTAGTCTCTTAGAAGACGTGGGCATCGGTGGGCCCGCGGTATTCTGCAAGGCGCCGGGTGGCGGGATGAAGAGATTGGCCAACATTCGACGTGGTTGAACGCAACATATACTGATGCTACTCGCGCTGGGGGTTTGTGACCATGACGGACAGGCGACTCGAGCGAGAGAACAGGGTAGAGTGAAGCGAGCGCCCGGTAGGATAAGGCTTGGGACGAGGTCGCCATCGTGGTTGTAAAGAAGGTCGAGCGTCGACGCGCGCGCCTCTCTCAGCGACCACCACCACTACTGCGACAATATACATCATTGCGTCAGACCTTCGGGATCTTCAAACGCTCACAACGCAGGCTCTAACGCTGTTGAAGTTACTCTACGGATGAAGCGACAGCAACAGCGACGCCGCCGCCGCGATTCCAGCGGCTGTTCCTTACCCTCCCTACCTCAAATAAGCTCACAAGGACCCGCCCACTTCCATGAATGCTCGGACATAACGAGTCTTGAGCGCTTTGGTAGCGAGCTGCACCCTATCTGCTGGAAGCTGTCCCTTCTAGACAGCTGCATCATTCAGACTCTTGAGAGTGCACGCCCACCTTTCCCCGCACATGGAGTCCTTCGTTCGCGTTTCACCCTTGTTTCACCCTAGGTAGAGCCTCCGTTAGCGGACATCAAGCTATCGACCATCACTCTCAGACACACCTCATTGGCAGAGGTCGAATACTTCACCCGTGGACACATCCGTGCTTCTCTGAGAAGAAGACGTCCACACGTCGATGCATTGATGCAGGATGCTTGACGTGCATCGACCCGATGTGCGTACACCATTCACGTATTTTCATCGAAAAGCGTAGCTGAACTCTCTTTACAGTGGCTTATATGGTTGAAGTCTACCTTGCAAGAATCCGCGACACATCGCTCTCTGCGAGATGGCCGCTGTCGACCCGACATATCCGCTCTACCCAGTCGCCTGCGTCCTGGCGTCAACGATGCTTCTCCTCGTTCTCCTCACCAGTATAATCCGCCAAAGCTGGAACTTGGGTCTCGCCATCCTGTGCTTTTGGCTCTTCGTGGAGAACCTGACAGGTGCCATCAACGCTATCATCTGGTCCGATAACGCCGACATCAAGTTGTACGTATACTGCGACATTGGTGAGCGAAGTTTCATGCGGCTGTCTTGAGGATATGCTAGTTCACCTAACGCTAAGCCCTTCAATTGCAGTCTCCCATGTACAACTTATAGCCTCAGTCGTCAAGCCAATGGCGACACTTATCATCACTCGCCGACTGTACCTGGTGCTCAGTCTGCAGTCGGTAGACCTTCCCGATAAAGCTGCGGTGAGACTCCATCCCTTCGTCATCGCTGGATTGAGAGCTGAACGCTATGTTACCAGACACGCAGGAACCTGGTGATAGAGTGGACCCTCGGCCTCGTGATCCCTCTTCTAGTCGCAGGTCCCTTCTGTGAGTCGACCGATAGGTGTTCAGGCTATCCCAGGCACTCATCCCGTCCCCAGACTACATAGTCCAATGGCCTCGGTTTGTGGTATTCGAGGGCTTTGGATGCAGCAACGCCACCGACGGCTCGATACTCAGCTTTCTACTCATCTTCTCCTTCAAGGTCATCGCTCCCTTGATATCCACCCTCTTCTATCTACGTGCGTCACATATACACAACACATCCACCGGATCAGCTAACGTGTTGCTATGCACTCTCAGCACACATCGCCAGGATCTTCTATCGCCAAAGCCGGGACATGGATCTTTTCAACCACAGTAACGACTCCTCGGTCTCCCGCACAATCTACTACCGCATCCTCGCCCTAGCGAGCGTCGACATCCTGCTCACCCTACCCATCGGGGTCGTCAGCATCGCCTTGAACACGGCCATCTCATTATCCTCCGGCCCTGTCCCGTTCTACCCCGGCTGGACCTACGACCACACGGACTGGGAACCAGTGGCCTTCACCTACGCGGACTTGCTGGCGCAAGGAACATCGACGATGGCACAGAACTACTTCATACAGTGGACTTCGCCCGTTCTAGCGTTCGTGGTATTCGGCCTTTTCGGGGTCACAGCTGAGGCACGCGCGTCGTATTGGCGCATTGTCTGCGCTGTAGGCGGATGGTTCGGTTGGAAGCCGACGCCGAGGCGCAGAACGCGTTCGACTCTGGGAGAAATTGAGTTTGGCGAACGATTGCCTCAGGATGTAACGCTATCCGTCCTTGGGAGCATGAGTCTGCCGTCCTCGAAGCCGGACTTGGGATGGAAGCCCAGTTCGCCCTCGAGTAGTCTTTACCGCGTTGCAGGCGCGCAGGAGCCTAATGTAGGAGCGAATGAGGCGGAGACACACTCTAGGAAAGATGTGCTGGAGGGCACCGATGACCTGTTGTACGCAGTCTCAAGTTACTTGCGCGTACTCGAAGCTCACGTCAGGTCACCATACAGGTCCCAAGAGTATCTGTCGAGTCAACGTCCGAATGAAGCGGTCTGAGCCGCAAGTGACATGGCGTAGGGAGTGGAGTGGGCGGTTGATCTTAAGCACCATCATCCACTCGTACATGCATAGCACTTTACCTAGTCTGTGTACGCTACCCTGTGGGCCTCAAGCTCTTCGCCGTCCCTCCGCGACTCGGACCGAGCGCCGCCGCCGTGAGCGCTTCGACCGTACGTCTACTCGCCCGTACACAGATGCCTCTTTCGTTGCATTACCTCAGTATGGCGCTTGTGATTCTCCTTGTGTAAAGACAGATGAAAGGCTCGTATCTGAGTGAGACTCAGAACTTCAGTGCAGGCCGGTGGTCGCCGCCTAGAAAAGCCTTGCGCCTTTGGGTTAGGGTTAGCGCCCATTCGAAGATCTCGGACGCGCAATGGCGCATCGTGCGCTAAGCGCTTATCGTGTCGCGTATCGGCTCGCCATGACCCAGGCAGATGCGCGCATGCATCATGTTATGGGCTGAGCATAGCTCGTAGGAGGTCGTCTCAATGAAGGTACATGGGGTAACTACAGTACAACAACAGCGGCCTGGGCTACGTGGAGAGCGAAATAAGAACCTTGGAATACACCGAGAGCCTGATATAATGAAACTCAAATCCGTATGAAGTTAATGTGCCGCGAGATCATAACGTACTCATTTCCGGGGAGTATTTGCTTGACGCCAAGATCAGGTTTGCGTTCCCATTGACGTCCGATACAACGTCCATCCCATGATCGCTCCAGACAAGAGCAGCAGATCACTAAACAAGGCCGACTCAGACAACCAAGACCCCAAAGCAAGATAGCAGATCAGCGCAACTCTTAATGAGCTCGTTTCTGCACCCGTAAGCCACGATACAGGGTTCTGAATGAACGCTGCCATCGTGATCCCGAGGCGCGCCCGAAGTGAAGGGCCGGGGAACGGATCAAAATCGACGACCCGCTCATACAAAAGCTCTATCCCACGCTTCGTCGCAAGCGCGTGCAAACGCTTGTCATCGTACGGCAATATCGTATAGCCTTCCATCTCGAGAACGTGGGCGCGCGGAAGACGCTCAAGCGCTCGAACGAGCTCCGCCGTATACTTGAGGCTCGGTGGGGAAGCAGAGTTTGCCGTCCGATTGTTGTGCCTCTTATGCGGGCCGACGAGCTTCAGCCGTTGTAGGTTCGGAAATCTAGTAGTGGGCAAACCACCACCGCTGAGACGACGAACGAACTCGTGTCCTGCAGCATCGTGCAGGTGTACTTCCACGGCGGTGCTCATATCGCCCAAGCAGATGTCCCAGAGCCACTCCTCCACGCCTCGTCGAGAAATAGTTGAGCCTGCGTGAGTGACGAAGATTGATACGTAGGCGGGACGGCATGGGACCACAAGGCGCGCAGCGCGCAGGAAGTGGGAGCATTGGAAAAAGTCGTCGTACGAGTGCGAGATGGCCTTGACACTTATCAGACTTGGAAAGGCTCCGTATTCGCCGCCAGAGTCGTCAATAGGCTGCGAGAAGACGAGCGTCGTAGAGCCGTCGTCGTAGTTGCGATGAAACATGATGTCCTCATAATGCATTTCTGAGACTCCGAGTCGTTCTTTGAATGAGCCACCAACGGATCGAAGAAGCTCGCGATCGTCGCCTTCCTCGACGCGGCATGCAATGAGCGTCTCTGTGGTACTCGGCGGCTTGATATAAGTCAGAATCTTCGCAAGTAATGATGGCCGTGCCTCTAGCCTAAGCGTTCTTAGACGGGGTAACTCCACCAAAGCAGTGTTTGCCACTTCAGGGTCGGTCTGGTGTGCGCTGCGGTTTTTGACGCACAGACTCAAGACCTCTAACTGATGCAGATGCGAGAGCATCTCGGCTAATTGCGTGTACATCGTCCAATGATCGCCGTCACCGTGAACGACAAGGGATGTCAGTGATGCTTTGAACAGAGAACACCTGGGTAGTACGTTGCAACCATGTACAGAGACATGGCGCAGCCGTGGGACGTCCTTCGTTGCAAAGACATCAGATAGACGCAGTGGCGCTTGCCATGCTCCGGGCTTGTACAGCGCGTTGATCTCCAAGCGCTCAAGGAGAGGTGCGGGGAGAGAGAAGGTTCGTCGGCGGTTGATGGTGTCCCGAATCAATATAAAGGAGTGAGGTTCAGCAGTGATATTGATCTCCATGATGCGATGCATGTTGTCCTCCAACAGCTGACATACAAATGCTAGGAAATCAAAGTCTTCTTTTTGTTCAGCCGCGAGCGTAGCATAGACGCACAAAGGCATCGTCCCCGAGAGGGATAATGAGCGCGTCGCTGTCTGTCTGCTTTGCAGGGCCACGCGAGCGTTGAAACGTGGGCAGCCATCTGCAGCGCGCTGCCAGACCGTAGAGACACGCCGAACCTCAAGCCAGTTCCAGTATTCGACGCGACAATTGCTTCGGCATTGCTTCGGTAGTGAGGGACTCCGCCAGTGTGCTTCGTCCAGAGGACGGACAACGTCCACGCCCGGTCTGTTCCCCGGTGCTAGCCTGTCGTTTCCTGCATGCGCCACTTGTCTTCTCCCAGGTGCAAGTCCATTTGATTCGGCGATGTTCTGGAGGAACTCTTCGCGACTTTGAGGAGCTTTGTTCTCGCCGTCGCAGCGATGTATCTCGGTGAACTCGTCGAAGACGAAGGGGAGGTATGAGAGGCATTCTTGCAGCACTTCGAGTGGAAGACGCGAGATGTAGCATCGATTCCGGCGTAGGGATAGAGCCTGCATGGATTGCAGCATCGCGGCAGGTGGCGCACCGGTCCCGAGCCTGCGATCGATCAGTGAGGGTCTCAAGAGACAGATCGTTACGCATACGTTGAAGCGAGATCGACCCGTACCCTGAAGTCAGCTAGGGCACCTTTCACTTCCTCAAGGACAAGCAGCAGTAGGGTACAAGGTACAAGGCAAGGATAGGCGGACGGTGCTGGTCGCTTGAGACAAGTTCGCAGGCGAGCCGTGTGCGAAGGAAGTCCAGGTTCGATAGATCGCGCTCACGTGGGTTCCGGACGGACGCCGAGAACGCAACGACGACCATGTCTGCTCCATGACACGCATCAGCGTCTCAATGAATGATCGCCTGCGGCCTGAGTTCGACGTTGCGGTTATCGTGATGGTCAGACGCCAAGCTGGTGCGTTCGGACTTCACCCGCGTCGACGGCATACACAGATTCACACGACCCTTTCCTCAATACCCGGCACGGTACAGTCAGACTGTCCAGCCGGACACCGGTATCTAGCAAGCAAGCAATCTATAACATTGTGTATATGTAGATTGTGACTTGGAGGGTAACTAGGCAAAAAGGAGAGCGTCTTGATATTGTACGACAAATTTGTGGGCACTACTGTGAGAAGACACGGGGTGTCAGCGTCTAGGCATGCCATATTCCCAGACGTAAAGGCGCACCAAGAGTAACCCTCCTCGTCCAGTAGCGCTACAGGTTCACTTCGGCTACAAGCTTTGAATAGAACGAACTACTTCATCCTGTCCTCTCTCCCACATCCCTCCTCACGCGTCTGGAGAGAACGGCTGCGGGTCTCATGTTACCGTCTTGCATTCTCGTGGCATTGTTGCGCCGCAGCGTAATGCATTTGACTTGATGCTCAGTGTAGCTTTTAATGGCGTCGAGAGCTGTCGAGAATAGCCAGGCGACGAGCCCGATTCAAAGAAGATCCAGCAGGAAGCCCGAGGTAAAGTAGTGGTGTCGGAAAGTCGTCTATGGCCGATGAGACAATCGTGTCCGGAAATTTCCGTTGTTGAGCGCGGCGTACGCCTTGAACACTGTACGGCCGGTTATCGCCATGAGGGAAGGAGGAGACCCACGACTCCCCTATTATTCGCGTCGCGTCGCGCGACGCGTCGTTGGCCCGTGAGACTCGCACGCGGCCAGGCGCGTCCTTCGCTGCGCATCGCTTCTCGCTTCTTCCACCATGTCAAGCTCACGAAGAGCCAAGTGTTCTCGCTCGCACTGAAAGAAACCTGTGCTACTCGACCCGATGTGCTTTTTTACTTGGATGACTGCACTGGTCCACCGGCCGCAGCTGCAGGCGATGGTATTCCGGAGAGCGAGCTCCGTGAGACCGTATCCGGTAGACGTACTACCCGCATACTCAACGCTTCACGTTTCGACGACCTCCTTGTCCCGCAATCTTGCGCCGGCTGTCAAGATCTATATCACCGTCTATACTCATTCTGCCGGAGGATAGCGCTGGCATCATGCGGACAAGAGGCATATAAGGACCGCCTTCAAGAATCGCTACCGACACTTTCTACCGCAAGATGGCTCGTGCGGTCGACCCAACGTATCCGCTTTATCCCTCAACATGTATACTGTCCGCCGGATTGCTTCTAGCGGTCATATCAACTAGGCTCACTCAAAAGAGCTGGAACCTTGGTGTTACCCTCTTATGTGTCTGGGTCTTCCTGGACAACGTCACCTTGGGCACTAATGCTATCCTCTGGGCCGACAACGCCAATGTACGGCTCCGTATATACTGTGACATCAGTAAGCTCACCTTCTCATTTTCAGTAATAAATCTGAGCTCTGATGGACGCTCTCTTCATAGCCTCGCGTATACAACTGATCGCATCTATCGTCAAACCTATGGCGACCTTGATCATCATCCGCCAACTTTACCTGATTACCAAAGTAAGACCTGCAGGGCATCACGATAAAGCAGTGGTACGGTGATCTCTTCGCACTGTGCATTGCCTTGCTTGACGTTTACCCATGTATCGCCGCAGGAGCGCGGACGAATTAAGGTCGATTGGATCCTCGGTGTGGTGGTTCCTGTGTTAGTCGCTGGGCCTCTCTGTGAGCTCTACGCTAGAGTTTCTCAGACCTAGCGGATATTCATGTCTACTCCAAGATTACGTGGTCGAGGTGTCGAGATTCGAGGTGGAAGAAGGCTTCGGTTGCGGCAACTCAGTGGACGACTCGATATTGAGCGTACTACTTCTGACCTCTTGGACGACGGCTCCACCTCTAATCTGTGTAGTGGTATACTATCGTATGTTGAATGATCCATCGCATGCTTCTGTGGCACTGAGATATGCTTTGACATCAGCGAAGATCATCTGGACATTCTACCATCAAAGCCGGGAGATCAACCACTTTCTACGCAACGATGCATTCGTACCTCGCATCAGCTACTTTCGAATCCTCGCACTCGCAAGCATTGATGTTCTGTGTAAAACGGGAGAGAGAGCCGACCACCACCATGCCGAACTTTCCCACGCTCAGCTCGGTCATAGAATCTGTCTGTGATCTAATACAAGACCTGCCTGCCTCGGTAGCTAAGAACCCTCCCAAAACCCGGACTATACCAACCACCACGATCGAAAAATTACGCACGCTCGGCCGCGAGCTCAGTAGAACCCTCGCCGAAACCGACACTACACCCCTCCTGGCCCCGGCTCCCTCAGAGCTCTCTGCCATCAAGGCACAATTAGACGAACTTACCCACAAAGTCGACAACATCACTACTCTCCCCACGCCTATCCGTACTTCGGGCCAGGAGCCCCCCCGCCCTGCGACTGCCAGCGCATCGCCGCACGACAATCACGTGACCGCGCCTTCGGCGCAGCGCCGTGACGCGTCTCTCGACATTGTCGTCACACCGAAAGTCGCTTCACCCCCGACACTTCTCGAGGAAGCACCAAAGTCGATTCTGAAGCGACTTAACGATCGTATCCGTCGCCATCGCACCTTAAAGGATCTCTGCCAGCTAGAGGATGGCTTCACTGCTCCAGTCTTTCGGGCTGTTATGCCGCAAGCTGACGGGTCACTCCGTCTACTGGTCTGCACTCAAACACAGCGCTGCGTACTTGTCGCTCAGACCGACTCATGGCTGAAGCAATG